GCTGGATGAGCCTTGAGCAACCTGATCTAGTGAGGAGGTGTCCTTGCCCATGGCAGGGGGTTGGGACTAGACGATCTGTAAGATCTATTCCAACCCTTAAATTCTATGATGCTATGAGATGTTTCAGAGCACACACTAGGGAAGTGGGAAGCAATTTATGGCCCTTACCTCTGTCCAAAGAGGCCTTGTTTAAGACAAGAGCATCTTCAATATCGTAACCACTGTAGCTCATCACAGCAACTGTGGCATTCTGCCCAGCAGGTAGCTTCTCAAAATCTATCAGTTCTATTGTTTTTGTCTTTACCATTGGCTTTTGTGGGTAGGCTAGGAGATACATAAGAGTATCTATCCTGTTTCTTTGATTGTATCCAATAGTACCTGCATGTAGAAGAAAAAAACAAAAGCATGTGAACATCAGTGAGTTTCCTAGAAATGTCTTGGCTAAAAAAAACCCCACCAAAACACAAATTAAATAAAACCACATAGAAATTCTTCAAGAAAAGAAGGGGGGGGAAATCATACAAGAGACCAAACCGAATCAACTTTACATTATTATATTTAAAGAAATATATAAGTAGTTTCTTCATTTAAGCTTCCATAAAGAATGATGGTTAGCTATTAGGAAGAGATTTTTTCCAGACAGAGTGATCAGGGACTGGAATGGGCTGTCCAGGGAGGTGGTGGATTCACCATCCCTGGAGGTTTTCAAGATGAGACTGGATGTGGCACTTAGGGCCATGGTCTAGTAACCATGGTAGAATTGGACTTGATGATCTTGGAGGTCTTTTCCGACCCGGCTGATTCTATAATTTTTTCCTCTAACAGGGAAAACCTAAGCATCAAGACAAAAAGAATAGCAACACAAGAAATAAAAGCAGGTCCTATATGACTGAATGCAATTAAGATTTCTTTTTTAACCACAAGACTGAACACTGCAAGTATGAAGTTTGTTTTTACTGTTCTAACAGCCACAGTTCGTTTTTCGTAGAGTTGAACTTGTGTTTTGAGACCTGACCCACAGTTTCATGAGAATCAATAGAAAGACTCTAACGGAGTTCAAGAGTAACTGTGGATCAAACTCTGCATATTCCCCATCATATTTCCCTCCTTTCCTGGGCAATAATTAGTCTAGCAGCAGCCTGTGTTAGAGTGCCACCAAGCATGACCAAACCACACCGTTAGCAGTAGTCAAGGCTGAGCTACTTTATGAAATGAGCAGCATCCTTGCTAGAAAGACAACACTGGAAGTTCACTCATAATATATTTGTCTTTTTTTACATGGAATTAATTTTAAATTTACAGTTCAGAATTCAACCCTTTGTATAGATCTCCCAGCCTGAGACTGAAATTTTTGGCCCTGGCCCATCAGACTGCCAAAGTGTCTTCTGAAATCTGAGGAGAAAATAATTAACACCCGGCAGGGAAACATAAACCATTTGTGCAGCAGAACAAATGTTAAGGCAATCCTGTGTTATTAGAGTTTGCTGTACCAGGACTATCTTATGTCGCTAAGTGATTAAGAAATTATAGTCTGAAAAGTTAATGTTTTAAAGCTTTAAGTGCTAAATATTCTGCAGTGTTTGTGCTTAGGGTGTAAGTCTTTCAAAAGCTGCCCATTTTCTCCTGTGATTTCAGAAGCTGGTTGCTTTCATGGAAAGGTCAGAGCAGCCAGTGTATAATGAAGACTTCACAGAGCCAGAATAGAGTACATCTGAACGCAAACCTGCTCATAGGGGAGGTGAGCTTCACATTTCATAGGCATGTACTTGCCATTTTCAAATGCCTGCATTGACATAAAACATCTAGAAAATCAAATACCTAAAATCAGGCATTGCAGGCATTCCCAAAAACCTACCCTGTCCTTGGCACTAAGCTCTCTCTCCTAAATCACAACAGGTCTACTCTTTCTAAGGACCAGAATGGGGAGAACGCTCAACAGATAATGTCTGAAAATGAACTGGCTCTTCCACACTTGGACTTTGCTTGGTTCTGGAAAGCAGACTTGAAGCCATGGGCACAATGTTTTCAAACGACAAGGAGAATCTGGTAGAGTTGACAGACTTCACTCGCTTTTGAGCAGTAGTTTTTCTGTGTTTGTGATAGATAAGGTAACTAATCATACTTGAGCAGTAATTTTTGTCTCCAGTAACATGCAAGATGGTAAGGCCTGGATTCATAGACACTGACAACCTTTGTGGTCACCCCCTGCAAGACCCACCAACTGAAAGCTCTAATATTTCTGATACTCTCTTGGCCTAAGTATTAAGACATCATTTTCACTGTATTTTGATTAAAAGCTCCTTGTTTTTCCTGGGAATATAGATAGGAAAATCTACTTCCACATAAAAAATTTAGCAGTTTAGACCATTTTCCCCCCCCCATTCTAGAATGAAAGATTTGTGCACTTTCAGTGTAGGTTGTCTGCTGTAAAGCTCATCTTGAAGGTTTCACAGGAAGGTCCATTTTCCTGATGTTGAGGGAAATCTTTCCCAGAGTAAGCCAGGCCAAATTTCACTTTTGAAATGCTTGCAATTTTTTTCTTCTCTGAGATGTTTATGTGCTGTACCTGCTCTGGTTAGGAAGGCTAAGATAGGATGAAATCTGGAGCACCAGATAACTAAACTTGTCCTTTACACCCCGTAACAACCTGTTCCTTATATATCAATCTATCTCAAGGATTTCAGATGACTCCTTTACATATTTCAGGCAATATGAATGATTCTTCTTCAGATGTTTCATGTATTTCACAGCTGGCATTTTTATCAGAGGTTCAGATAAGCCTCACAGAACTGCTACTGCCCCAAAGTCCTAAGTGACTGACATGACTGTGGATAGACAGGAAGCTGAACAGGAGCCAGCAGTGTGCTCAGGTGGCCAAGAAGGCAAATGGCATCCTGGCCTGGATCAGGAACAGTGTGGTCAGCAGAACCAGGGAAGTGATTCTTACCCTGAACTCTGCATTGGTGAGGCCACACCTTGAATCATGTGCTCAGTTCTGGGCCCCTCAGTTCAGGAGGGATATTGAGGTGCTGGAGCAGGTCCAGAGAAGAGCAACAAGACTGGTGAAAGGACTCGAGCACAAGTCCCATGAGGAGAGGCTGAGGGAGCTGGGGTTGTTTAGCTTGGAGAAGAGGAGGCTCAGGGGAGACCTTATCACCCTCTACAACTCCCTAAAAGGAGGTTGGAGTCAGGTGGGGGTTGGTCTCTTCTCCCAGGCAACCAGCAGGAGGACAAGAGGGGACAGACTCAAGCTCTGCCAGGGAAGGTTTAAGCTGGATATTAGACAGAGATTTTTAAGGAGAGAGTAATCAGGCATTGGAATGGGCTGTCCAGGGAGGTGGGGGATTCACCATCCCTGGAGGTTTTCAAGCTGAGACTGGATGTGGCACTTAGTGCCATGGCCTAGTATCCACGGTAGGGTTGGACATGATGATCTTGGAGGTCTTTTCCAACCTGGTTGATTCTGTGATACTATGACTGAGACTTTGAGCCTCACTAATAAACTGTATTCAGGCAATTCTTCAGGAGTTGAATGCTGTATCATATCAAATGGAAAACAGATACATATATATCAATGATGATATCCTAGCAGGAAAGAAACTGGTTAGAGAGCGATTCAAGAGCACAAGTGAAATAAATTAGCCAAAACCCATGCCACAGATCAGCAGTATTATTCCTAATTGCTAGGATTTAATGGCTATACAAATACAGCTTTCTCTAGGCTGGGCTAACAAACCACCGCCTTAAACCACAACCTGCTTATTTAAAATTACAGCTCTCTTCTTCTGAGGACTGGCACGTTGGGATGAGACCTCTGTGTGGGCACTGAAGTGAAGGAATTCACTAGCTTTATTTCTGTTTTCTCTCTGAAAGAACAGAGCCCTTGTTTGCTCCAGCCAAACAGCCAAGCAAAAGTAAAGTATAATTAAAGTTCACCATAACAAACCCTGCTCACAATGACTCGCATTTATAATTACCCCAAAAGCAAGAACCAATTTTTTTCATTGGTAATTAGCCCTGGTTAAAGCAAAAACACACAAGGTTGACCTGGATACAATAAAGATCATTTTCTTGCTTTTCTCAGTGCTTGATGTATTGTGAATGCACGTGTGCATTCTTTCCTTTTCTTTCCATTTCCTGACAGGTTTGGCGTTTTTCCCTTTAAAGCATCATTCTTTGGTGTGAAATAATCATCATAAAAATGCTATCTATAGATACTTAGCATAAATGAGGTATTGTTATTCTGATGCAGAAAGTTTTGAGAACTCACCAGAACAAATAGCCATCTAAAATAAGCATTAATCCAATTCTCTGGTATAAGTAACAGTGAGGCTAAACTGTACAATCAAAATTAACAAGGACACAGAAATCAACCTCCTTGAGCCAAAAGGGCTATTACTGCACATGCCAGGAAAAAAAACTTCTGTACTTCTGTATCTCCCTGATTTCACCATGGATTTTCTACTATTCTGTCCTTCTGTATAGCACAAACCAAGAGAGGAAGAAGGACAGTTTTTAAATGCTGCAATAAACCTTGTGGAGGAGGCTCCAACTCCGCTCAGAGAGATTTTCACCACACATGTACTAAAGTGATCTGGATGTTCAGCATTAGAATTATTCCTTTCACCATAGAACAACTAGGAAGTCAGTTAAAAAGATTATGGGTAAATAGGGGGAAGTAGTTTGGCTTATTTCTGCTTCAGCACTTCTGTGCCTGCTACCAGGGAGAGAAGAGATGTCCACATGAGACTGTGTTGCAGAGCACCCAAAGAGCAGTGGCAGAACGGAGCTGTGGCCACAATGCACCCAGATCCAGCTGTGATGACCAGCGACAACTGGTTTTACTCTGGTGTTTCTATTCACTGCCCACAGGCTAACAGTACAAAACTTGGGGCATCTCTGGCTCTCAGCCCATCTACAAAACCTTTTACAACTGTCAAAACCCCGAACGCCCAGCACTGAGTTCCCTGAAGCACATTTATCTTCTCAACTTTAACATGTTCAGCTGGGTATAGCACAAGGCAAAGCAGTATATAAAGGGTTTTGCTACTTCACAGGAACAAAGCAGAAAGTACAGTATACAAAAATAAAAAACCCTCTTACCGTAATATCATAGTTGCTTCATCATAAACGTCTCCAACAAAGGTCTCACCCATTTACCATCCTCTCCTTAAACACTTCCTTTTCTTTCAGAGGTTAAAGTAATAATCAACACCCAAACTCTCCTTTCCTTACTCAAGATTTGTGTTATGACATTTGGGTTGGAACTGCAGCTGGGCTAGGGTACAGCTTGGTGTACCTACACTGCTGTTTATGCCAAGTGCAATACAGGGGATCACTGGTAGGAAAATATGTATGCTTTCATTTCTCACACTAGGCCTTTATATAACCCTTCACAGAGGTACAGTGCGTAAATCTGACTGATTTTCTATGTCTTAATGGAAGTAAAAAGCTCAACTTAAAACTAATTCTCTATCTGTGGGAGCCTTTGATCCTCTTGAGCAGTATTTTAGCAGCACATGGAATGTAAACAGTACAGACTCTTGTATTTTAATCTAAAATACTTCTGAGATTTTAAGCTACAACTGTTAGCTTTGCACTCAAATGCCAATGTTCAGCTGAGGTCCTCGCAGCTGCTGTTGTATTTGCCACCTAACTTTTCCTCAGTCTTACAGCTCAACCTCCAACATATGGTAAATTATCTACGCCAAGATGGGATTTAATTTCAATTTACTTTTACTGAAATCCAGTTTGCTCACTAAGCACAGTCCTAGTCCTCCAACAGGATCACAGAATCATAGAATCAGCCGGGCTGGAAAAGACCTCCAAGATCATCAAGTCCAACCCTACCATGGTTACCAGACCATGGCACTAAGTGCCACATCCAATCTCATCTTAAAAACCTCCAGGGACAGTGAATCCACCACCTCCCTGGGCAGCCCATTCCAAGGCCTGATCACTCTATCTAAGAAATCTCTTCCTAATATCCAACCTAAACCTCCCCTGGCAGAGCTTGAGTCTGTGCCCTCTTGTCCTCCTGCTGGTTGCCTGGGAGAAGAGCCCAACCCCCACCTGACTCCAACCTCCTGTCAGGGAGTTGGAGAGAGTGATAAGGTCTCCCCTGAGCTTCCTCCAGGCTAAACAACCCCAGAATGATAACTCATCTACCCATGAAAGAGAGATGTTTTTCGTGGCTTTTAATGCTACACTGAAGAAACATTAATATTTTAGGACCTAACACTTGTCAGGGATACTGGATTACAGATTCCATTGCAAGCTCTGATGTCCACTCTCTATTTTGCTTTCATACCTTTCCCTAACTTGATATTGCTGAAAAAGAGAGCAAAGATGTTCCAAAGCTGCTGGCAGAGCCCTGTCATGTGGTCAGAGGGGATAGGTCAGTGTCGGGAATCACAAGGCTCTCCTTTCCCAGTCTGAACCCTGGGGCTCCCTCCATTCCCCCAGGATTTGACTGTTGAGGGAGTGACACAGACGACTTGGACATGAGGCTTTCCACATGACAATGTTGGACCGGGAGCTGCTCTGCAATTTCAGCAAGGGGAAAGAGAGCACTGAAGATGGATGGTTACTTAAAGGGGTCTGAAGCACTGCATAGCATCTCTTCATAAAAATAAACAGAAGAAAAATGTGTCATGTTTCAGGAACATCCTCTAGGTCTCATCTGAGCAATAAGTGTAGAGAAAAATGTCTTCTGCCCCTACATGTTGCCACTGTAGGATTGTGGATTTTTATTTTTTTTTAGGCAGTTATTCCAAAAAGCTTCAGGTGTTTGCAGATCTTTCAGACAGAGCAAAATATAGCTCAAGTCATGTGCCAACTTTTAAAATGTACTTTTATCTAGCTGCTTATTCTTTGAGTCAGGTGTTTTGTCATAACAAACTGAAACAAAGGCTTTTTTTATTGCTGGAGATATTCAATGGCTTTTGTGTTCCTAGCGTAAGCAGGAACGTCAGAGGATTGTATCCAAGGAGCTAAATGTGCAAGACCTAGGGTCAAAGCAGCTGAATACACCAACCTCAGAAAACACAGACAATGAATTGCAAATGACACTCAAAACAAAACGGAGAAAAAAACCTTCACACAGAAAACTACAAAAGAACTCCACAGATACTGAATTGGCTTTCTGTACACACTGATCCTGCTTAACTGTGTGTGGTAACTAACCAAACCTTCTGAGACTAATAGTCATAAAATAGAGACTCAGGGTGGGGGAAGATAATGGGATGGGGGAGAACTGTAAGAGAAAAGATTGCATTGCTCTTCTTTCCTCACCAGCCTTTTTTTTTTTTTTTTTTCATTTAAAGGGAGAACATACATCTGTTGCTCTTTCCTGCTATTTTGATGCACTGAACATGACAGATCAGGATAAGACTTTGCTTGTAATGCTGCTGGGGAAGTCTCAAAAAAGGTGCAGTGAGACAGTTTTGACCACATAGCACAAACCAAATGGTTTAGTAAACCAAACTGAAGTGGTAATTTCTTCAAGACACAGAGTTGTTCTGCTGTAGCTTTCAACTTGCAAGCAAGCCAGCAATGCAAGACATGAAACCAGCAGGTACAGCCCAAGTCTGAGATGTTGTACCAGTCAGGATCTTCCTGGGACTCACCCCAGCTCGATCACAGGCTACATGACCTGGGCACTTTAATGCTAGTTTAGCTGTGTGTTAAAGGAAGGATTAGACCTCACCTGGTGTCAATTACTCACAAAAGCACATTTACACAAGGGTTGGGTTTTAATGACTAGATATCACACTGCCAAATCAAATATCAAATGATCAGGACATTAATTCTGCTTCAGTCACTTTGCTAAGGCATTAATTAACCTCTTCATCCAAAACAGAAAAAGCTCACAATCTTAACCATAGCTGTAGAAAGGGTTCAAGTAACTAACCACTCTCTATCACATTTTGAGTCTTATTCTCTGATGTCACTGTTAACTACTTATATATAGTTATTTTTAGGACACCTCCACAATGATGAGGGGAAATGCTCCTCAATCCCTGCTCCGTCTCTCTTCGTGAGAACACTTTTTAACTCTTTTTGTCTGGAAACACACAGCATGGAAAAAAAAAAATCCACTCTGCCAATCCTGCAGCTATGCTGCAAACTTCAAAGTCATGATGATTATCAATAAAACCCAACCAAAAAAACCCTAACTGTCCCAGTTTATCCTACTTTCTTTGTAAAGTGTTAAAAACTACAGATGTGATCTTCATTAAGTAAAACTGACTGGTACTTTTTTCATGTTAATTTTTCCAACTTTCAGAGGTAAATTCTTCCTCAAAGCTAAAGAAGTGCTTTTCTACTCTTCCTAGCAAAGCTTGTACGTGAGCTAGGAAAGAAAGAATTTCTCTGTTTGTCACTTTTGCTACACAGCTTCAAAAAGGAACAGAAAATAAAGTCTTACCCATGGCTTGTTTCCCCATGGCACACTGGTAGGTGTTTCTTGGGGACTGGTTGTGATGAGGATATGGAATCAGCCCAGCACAGACACCAAGAAGCGTGAAAGGCTCAATCTCCAAATGGCTTGTATCTCTTGAAAGAAAGAGTGCAGGTTATGACAGGCTTAAGGAGAACTTATTTCATTTAGTAGTATCTCATAATAACCATACTAATCTCATAACCTCTGGGCCATGGCAATCCCAGGCACAGCTACAGGTTGGGTGGGGAAGTCCTTGAAACCAACAGTGAGGAGAAAGACTTGGGAGTGGATGAGAAGCTCCCCATGAGCTGCAGTGTGAGCTCAGAAAGCCAATGGAATCCTGGGCTGCATCCAAAGGAGTGTGGCTAGCAGGTCAAAAGAGG